TAATAATAATAGTAGCAAAGTGTTGGATACCAAAAATAATTTATAGTTGTAATTGAAGAATTATTCAAATTGGTGGAAATAAGAAATAGTAGGAGGGATAAGTATCTTTATTATATGAGAGGATATGAGAGTGAATTGCAGTAAGAGGGCAAAGCCTTTTTTTTTTATGAATTCCCTTACTCCTACAATTACACGCATATATTACACACATATATGGTACTAGTTGTGAGGCGGTGATTTGAGCCGCCTTTGTCAACAGAGTAATGTAGTAGCCAATCTGTCTTATACAATGTTGCTGAAAATGAGGATTGATTAACTGCGTATATTAAATAAATGCTAATTAAATTGGCCACACAAGTCATAACTAATTCAATTCTATCCGTGGATACAGCTAATTACCAAAACTTTAGGGCATGTTTATTTATAAAAAATTTTGGCTTTTGTTTGAATTATTTTATTTGATTTGATTAATTTTTAAAAAGATAGTATGGTTAATTATTAGTGAGTATATTAAAATAATATTTAAAAGAAAATAATTAAAATTGATTTGATGTAAAAATATAAGAGAGATGATTTAAAGTGATGGTTAATTAAAATAATGTGAGTGTATTAATAGTGAATTAAGGTGGATGTGATATGTACAGTGACGGAGCAAGGATTTTCACTAAAGGGGCTCAATTTTAAATGTTAAATAACGAGTTTCTAGTTCACGTAAAACGCTCATTTCATCTAAAGTTGTGTTTACTTATAAATATAGTTTACAATCAAATTCTTAAAAACTTAGAATCCGTATAACCTTTAAACTTTTTTTTAAGCAAAAAAAAATGAGATTTCGTGTATTTATAAAGTTTAATGTAACACCCCGCTTATCAGAGTAACTTTTTCGCAACTTTTACTTCGAAATTACTTTAACTCTTTCGAAATCTTTTGCGACTAACTCGGGATGCTACTCAAACTCATCATCTTGAAAATCCGTTTATCTTTAGACTTTTGTCTAATACTTCTTTATTCATAAATAAAACAGATATCCTTTAAACTTGCATTTAAAATACCATAATCATATTTCTTATAATGGTAAAAACTTAAAATCTGAAATTTATTAAAATGCAAGTTCAATACTTAATGTGCATAGCGGAAATACTTGAAAACTTGGTTAATTATACAGACTGTTATAAATGTCCTCATCAAAGCTTGTCTTCATCTGAGTCCACGATCCACACCAACACTGCTCCACTCACACCTCCTCTTCGACCTGTTACCTGAAACTAAAACTCATGGGGGTAAGTAACGAATATGGATAATCATAAACCGATATCTGATCGGTAACTTAAACTTTTCTCTTCTCTTGCCGATAATTAATCGGATACGTGTGCACACTCTGATGGATATTTCTAAGGCAACTCAGGAGGCCTCCATCAGAACTTAGGATATAATCTCTGAGAACAAATTAATGCCTCCTCATCCTAAGCGTAATAATCTTAAACTTTAGGATATACTCTGAGACAACTGATGGTCTCCTCATCCCATATAACATCAATATCGTACTCAATGTGATACCCGTTCAGGGTCCCACCTTTTTGTCTTTGAAATCATTTGAAATACGATAAGTGCTGTACTGGTACTGTATCTGCAAGTTACATCAAATATAAACAAATATACTAAGTACTATGCTCGTATACTCAATAAGATTTTTAAAGTTATTAACTTATCCAAATCTTATAGAAATTCATTAAACTTGTTTTTTTTTTTCTCAAGTTTATACTTAACTTCTCTTTTTACTTTTACTTAAGGTCAATTACTTAACCTTATAAAAATCATGTCTTCATAAACATCAATATGGTATTATACTTAGCATGTCATAACTCAAATGTGAGAATAACTATATTTCACATTATACTTGATTGAGTATTTAAACTTAAAGCATGCTTACTTTTACCAACATCATCAACATGATTTATAACTTATCTTAATTTAACTTGATCAAATACTTAATTCATCATACATCATATCTCCCAATTTTTAGATATATACTAAATTTTCATTTAATTAACTTGAAAGTGAAAATAATCTCAAGCCATAATCATCTTTTAATCATAATTTTAATCTTGATATTAATATGTCATACTTAATACAATCTTTATAAAATTATATACTCAACATATTATACCAAAACTTCATCAAATTACTCATCACTTATATGAGAATTATTCATGATCATCTAATTTTAAACTTAACTTTAACATATGTACTCTCCACATATATATAAGTTATCATAAAAATTTCACTTTAAAATAATACTCATATATTAAGATATATTATTTCAAAGTTGAAAATATAACAAAATATTCAACTAACTTGTATGCTTGCTTTTAAAAATTTATATCTCATGCTAAACAAGTCCAATAAAGATAAAATTTAATCTGGAAGTTCTTAACAAATATATGAATTGACCATAAAATTTCCAACTCAAAATAATATCAATAGATAGGGTAATTAAATACTACAAGTCATCATTACTGCACAGATTTTTCACTGGACAACACCTTAATCAATGATTTTTATAAAATTCATTTTAACTTCAAATAATCTAAAACTTTCCAGTATTATTCTCAGCATAATGATGATCTCATATAAAAATTTTCATAATATTTGGAATTTAATAGCTTGGTCAAAAACAACAAACATAAGCAGCTGCAACATGAACTTTAAATAATCTTACTTTACAATCTTATTTTATATACTTATAATATGAAATTTATAATTTCTAAACATGATAACATATCAAAATCACATATAAACACTTATAACTCTTAGCTATAATTGATGATATCAAAGTTTGAATACATACCTCTTCTATTTATAAGAAAAGAAACTTGCTCCAAATATTTCTTGAAATTGCTCGGTTTCTCTCTTAAAAACTCGATTCTTACTATTTCTTTTTCTTATAACATAAAAATCTGAATTTTTGTGGTGTAATTCTACCATTGATGAATGATCCTATTTATAGGAAAGTTTTAGGGGACAAATAGCACCAAAATTGAATTAAATATCATTTAAAATACTAATTTCTTCAACAAATATGCTAAATAATGTCCCACTCTTAATTTTTAATTTAGTTGACTAATATTATTAAATTTTTCAGCTCAATCAATTGCATAAAATAACATAAAAATGAGTCATCATTAATATAAAAATTAAGATGCTTCAAATGATGAAGATTCTACAAAATAAAAATAATTTCCACAATTTATTTTTTAATTTTTCTTTTTAATTTCGAATTTTCTAATAAAATCAGAAAATAATTTTCAAATTTTTTTTTAACTTATATTAATATCTCTCATAATATATAAATCATTGACAAATGATTTAATGAGAAAAAAATATGCTTAAAATAACATAAACACTTTTTTTTTCTAATAATAGCATAAATTGTGAAAATTCACAATTAATTAAAATTATGCTATTCTTAATCTTTAAAAATCCATAATAACTAAACTTTTATGCTTAATAAATTTTAGATATCAATAATAAAATTTTCGGAATCAAAATCGGACTTAAATTCCATTTACGATTGAAAACCGAAGATTTTATTATAATCTCTACTATTCTCGATTATGAATTTTTTTTAACTTAATCTTGAAATAATTTACGTATTATCTATACTAAATTAATCACTCTTACTGATTTACCTTATAACTTTTTACTGCGGTAAATAATTTTTACTGACTTACTAAAATATGGGGTATTACATTTAAGATCTATGATTTATAAAAAAAATAAGTTTTTTTGTTCAAAATTTGATTTACATTGAACTTTTGCAACACATTGCATAACATTTTTTGTTGATGACAATTTATCAAATGACCTTTTTATTAATAAAAAAAATAAATATAATTGAAAATATGTGATTACATAAAAAAAAGTAAAAAATCAACATTAAAATATATAATAGATCAACATTAAAAAATCTAACAATCCAACTAAATTCTAGGTTTTATAAATCACTAAATTGATTTACAATTGGCAAATAATTTCCCGTACCTTGGGGCGTACAGGGCATCCATTATCCGTCTTGACCACGAATCGTGACCCAAGAGGCCGAAAGAATAAAATATTATATCATTTTCAAAAATATATCTACAAATGTAAAATATTAAGATTATTAGTATACTTTTTAATAAATAAATAATATTATTACTTTAAATTAAAATAGCATTGAAAAAAGTTTTAATTATTTATATATTCTACATGTTTTTTTACATTTTTATTCATATTTTATAGTATTTTTTTATTTTTATATAACTATATATATAATGATTTTTAAAAAAAAATTGAGGGGGACTCGTGCATGTAGGTCCGTCTCTGGATGTGTATAAATGATTGATTGATATTATTTAATTATCTTGATAATATTGATGATAGTGAAGTTGAGTTGAAGTTGAGTTAAAAAAAGTGGTTGAGTTAAAATGTGAAATTTTTTAGAAATTTCTATAAATAAACATGCTCTTAGAGGTGGGATCAACATACATAGGGTATTGTGAAAGTAGAATCTTTTATAGTTGTTACTAGGTGAAGTTCATTATCACTATTACAATTGTCGTTTTAAATAATATATTAATATATATATATATATATATATATATATATTTGGTTTGGAATCTAATCTAACGTATTAACTAAATGAGCTTGAGATGTAATTAGGATTGAGCAATGGACTCGAAGATTATCAAATCGTTCAGAAAACTGAACCGAATTCACCCTGAACTTAAAAATATCCGTTGACCATTTGACTTTATCCAAACCGAACCATACCGAAAAAATATTTGGTACAGTTCCAGAGATCCATAAAATATCCAAACCGAGAACCGCACCGAACCGAAAAAACCATACCGAACAAGAACCGATTAAAATTCATAAAATTCATATAACTATAATATTTAA